CACCTTCATGGTGGTTTCCAAGACGTGACCTATGGGATACTTCAAAACTCATAAGTTCTTCAAAAGAACTTAACCCGTAACCCTTCCAAGGGTTAAAACAGCAGCTATGGATGATATTTCTATCTTGCATCAGGTTATCCTGAGTAATTTGCTTGGACATGATGCTAAACGACTGTGCTAAAAGCAGAGAGAGAAGGTGGTTTGGGAATACAGCTTTCCTTGGCAGACTAAGCTGGTATGTGACCAGACAGGAATCACATCAGCACATAGGAAGCAGAGTTCTCCATCTGTTAACACTGCCCACTGAGTGCATCTGACCCTGCAAGCCCACGTGGCGCTGGCACGAGCCGAGCGTGGGTGCGGAGCTGAGACGGGTGGCTCCATGCAGGGCTCTGCAGGTGCCCTGCAAGTCCAGACTGCCACCTCCAGGCACACAAGGCTCGCAGAGCCTCGCTTGCTAACGACACAGCCAAACTTGGCTTCGGAGATGACTTATTGGTAGCCTGGGGTAATATTGTGTGTGACTAGAAAAGAAAAGCTGTTTTACCAGGGAAAGACCAGCTCCCAACGGTGCAAACTGGAAAAAAAAGTTTCTTGGGGGACATTTAAGAAGGTGTGAAAATCCTGAGGGCTATTTCGATACATGAAGGGGTTTCTTTGCTGTCATACATAAGCCAGAGTTTCCATCACCTCTCCTCAGATGGAAGAGTTTGCCTCTTGACCAGATCTTTTCCCTGGACAGGTTCCCTAAGTCCTCTCCACAAGGGGCTTGCTGCCGAGCCAGTTCCTCTCTCAGCCCGCAGGATCCCTGAGAGCCAGCCCTGTCCCCCAGCCAGCCACTGCCTGCAGTGGGTCTCAGTTTTGGGAGCATGGAGCCGTGCACAAGGTCTGGAAACACGGCTCTGTGTCCCGGAGAACAGCCCTCGATGACTCGCCCTTACCAGGACTGCACTTTCATGGCAATTTCTTTCAGACAGGAAGAAATGACACGTTAAAAACGACACAACCCTGCCTCGTCTTCTCGGGCGTTGTGAGTGGGGCGACGCCCTGGGCATGGTCCTCTCAGTCTCTCACAAAGTGATGCTGTAGTAGCTGTGGAGCCGCTCCGGACACAGGCCCCCACCCACACGGAGCAATGCACACAGCACCCGGGTGCATCGGCCCCTGCCCCGGCACCAGCACCCCCCATCCTTCCACGGATCACTGCTGGCTTTGGGACCGAGAAATTTAAGAAAACTTTGTACATTTTGCACAACGTGGATACTGGCTTTATTCATAACTGAAACGAACTAGTGAAATGTGGGTCCTCGGTGAACACTGCATTTCCAGGCTGCCCCACTGTGCCCAGTGCCAGCAGCGTACCGTGGGCGAGGTGTGACATGGTTGCTGTCCCTCTCTTCATGCTGGGGTGAGGGTCTGAGCAGAACCTGCACAGCTGTGTGCACTGGACATGTGTGTGGAAGGAGCAGGATGAGGTGACCTTCAGAGGTCCCTGTCAACCATATTTCTTGAGGTCTCTGGCAGATGAAGGAACCAGCAAACTAGAAAGGTGGAACATGATGCCCAAGGATGTGTTTGGGAGGCGGTGGGGAAGGAAAGGAGGTGGGTCTGGGACAAGGACAGGTGAGGAGCAACAGGCATCCTGCAGTCGTGATGTGGGTGGTAGTGATGGGAAATGCAAATACTGAAATGGGGTATGTAAGGGCGAACGCAGAGCGCCGGGTTTGTGAGCCCAACCCTCAGCGCTGGGGAGACTGCCCAGGAGCAGCTTGCCCAGCCAGCGGGCTGGTGCTTCAGGAAAGGGGCACCAGAGAGAATGGTGGGAGGAGGGGACCGGGGGAAGGATGGTCTGGACGGGGCTGGCAGGATGACGATAGCTGTAGAGCCTGGGCTGGCCTTTCCTCACAGCCGGGGTGCGGAGCAGGGCTGCGCTGCCTGGGGATGGTCACCTCCATCTCTGAAGGGCTGCAAAGGCTGGGGGCATGTGTGCGGGCAGTGACGGATAGAGCCGACCCCACCCTGTGCAGTGGTGCCCTTTTGGGTTTTATGGAAAGAAAAATATTCCTGCAAATGCTGGTGTTGTCTTTGTCCCTGCAGCTCATGCAGGTAAATCCTTCACTGGAGGGCAGCTGGAACGACAGCTAAATGCCTACAAGAAGGGTTTTGCAAGCCCACCTACGAGATACTTCAGCTCAGACTGCAGGGGATGAGGGTTGAGGTTCTACTGGGGTTTTTTTGGTTTTTTTTAACAATTCCTGAAGTTCCAGGAGAGGGTAAGCCTAGATCTGGGAAAACCTGCAGAAGACCCCCAAGGTTCAGAGGAACCTCTGCACAGAAGATCTTCTGTGCTTGCATGATCTCCTGCCCTACACAGCAGTGACTTGGTGGTTTGGTGAGGGGCTTCTCCCAGCCCACAGCACAGCGACCACCCTGCAGGGAACCTATGAACGATCAGCCTCTTGTCCCTTCCCTGAGCGCTCGGGCCAATCCCAGTGACACTCCTGCTCCCCAGGGAAGCATCCTTCAGGTGTGGGAGACTTTCTGGAGTGGAGTAAGGTGGTGGCTAGCTGGGCATCCCTGTGCTGGCCCCGCTGTGCCTGTGAAGCAGCCATGGGGGCCCCCATGCTCTCTGCAGGTGGTGAAGCAGCTCGCTGCAGCACAGGGACAATAACAGGCAAGGAGATAGCCCATGGGAAGAAGGAGTTTTATTGTCCCGGAGGAGGTGCACACTCTGAACATAAAAGGCAAACCCTGTCCCACCATGCCCGCAGCCGGGAGCAGCCCAGCGACCCTGCGCTGCAGGATACGACCCATGAACCACCTGGGAAGGGTCCCTCTGCTTCAGATCCTGCAGCCCGCATGACCAGGGTTGCCCAGCAAACCCCAAGGACACAGGTCTGTGGCACTGGCCTCATCTCTGCTCTCCCCAATTTGTCCAGGATGGACTCACCCTCTGGAGAGTCCCAAACGCTGGGAAGAGAGGACACGGCC